CAAGCCACTCGAGACTATATTTAAGCCGTCATCAAAACCACCAGCTATCAACACCCATATCATCTCGCGAGAGCCCTCACGCGAGTTTCCAGCAACGACCTTCCAATCCAGCGCTAATTATTAGGACAGTCTCTATTCAGTTAAAATTAAACTGTTAGATAATGTATTATTTTAAGATTTGCAACCTTATTGTTAGGCACATTAAGAGAAGATCCAAAAAAAAAAAAACAAGCTTTAAAAAAAAAAAAAAAAAAAAAACGGTTCATATTTATTAAAAACATTAAAAGTCAATTACAACATAAAAAAGGTAAAAGATAATGACCAACAAAGGAAGAGTCTAGGTGTTAATTTTATTTTTATGAGTAATTCAAGAATGTTTTGCCTGTTTTCAATTAAGTCTAAATTATAAAAGTTAAATTACTCAGAGCGCATACATTAAAATTACTGTCCTACTTACCCACTATGCCTTACAAGACTTTCTACACAGTCCATGGTGCTCGGCAGATTCAATACTGAGCAAATTTCATAAATTGTTGTCATCGTGTTCCTTGCAGAAGTCTATAGCCATTTCTGTGTCATTCATCTGCGAAATTTTAACGCTATATTATAGTAATTTTTCAGTTTTAGTTTTCCCGCGCTATAAGTAATCATATTTAGGGCCTCGACCGCTTCTAATCCGCCCATGCACCTGGCAAGTCGACCATTTTCGGATAGAAGCCTTACCGTTTACCGGTGGCTAATGCCACCTGAATGAAATAGTCCTTTGAACACCTAAAAAGGACAAAAGTTTCTTCCGATCACATTTGGTATTGAAACATGTTTATGGAGTCCACTTTCAAGAAGGAGTCCAGATACTGCAAATAAAACAAGAGAGAACGCTATAGTCGGGTGCCCCGACTATCGAAAACCCGTTACTCAGGTAAAGGGAGTGCGAGGGAGATGGAGATAGAAACTTTGATCACGCATAACTTTTTAACGAATGGTCCGATTTGAAAAATTTCTTCTACATTTCAATAGGTATTGATAAACACAATAAATCTGCATTTTTACTTTTCCGAAATATTTAAATTTTTAAAATCGTATTTAAGCGATTGTGGGCGTTAAACCTGGCGTGGCACCTTTTTGAAACAAACTTGCGCTGCGTGGGAACTCCTAGAATCTGCATGCAAAATACTAATCTTCTAGCTTTTATAGTTTCCGAGATCTCAGCGTTCATACGGACGGACAGACAGACGGAACGACGGACATGGCTATATCGACTCGGCTAGTGACCCTGATCAAGAATATATATACTTTATAGGGTCGGAAACGCTTCCTTCTAGCTGTTACATACTTTTGCACGAATACAATATACCCTTTTACTCTACGAGTAACGGGTATAATTATATTTAAACCAATATTAAACCAAGCCAAGCGGTTATATGAGCCGATTACCCAGTATAGATACTCTTTACTGTGTTCCAGATGATGAACAACCAATTCTGATTTGATTTTTTTCTTGTCTAATAATATTTGAAATGCGCGTTCACAGTCTAATTGAAGTGGAATAATTATTTTTTAAAATAACACCGTAAAGCTAATAACGTTTTATTAACTCGGAGACGTTCTTGTTGTGCAACCTTCAAAAATTGTGTCAATCAGCAAATTAGTACTCACTTTAGATACATGCGAAGGTTATCGTGAATAGCAGAATAGAAAAGAATTACAGCGAAGCAGTTGTAAAGATAAGATGAGATTCAGAAAGCCGATTACATAGAATTTAAGAAACTCGTAAACTTGAGGATCGAGTTTTGAAATGTCGGATATCGGCAGATAGGCGCTAATGGATCTTAACTGCACTTCTCAAACAAAAAATATTAAACTTAATTTAAAATTTGTGCCTTTTATCGATAAACATGGGTACTTATCATTCAGACCTCAAACAGCAAAAATATATAATTATACTAATTATACACTATTATACATGTCCATCCATACTAAAAGAGAGCCGAAATGTCCTATGACTTATACCTAACATTTTTTTTTGAGATAGACGTTTTTTTGAAAATGACGGCTAATTTTTTTTTTCGGGCGGAGTCCCACTGTCCGTTTACCCGCCCAACCGACCGAGGGGCGCAGCCTTGTATCGTGCGGCACGATTTGCGAGAAGATAGACGCGAGATAAGAAAATTTAGGTAGGTCCGGGAAAAAAAGTAATAGTAATATCAATTTTGCGCCAATGAAGCAAGTATTACTCGTTTTCGGAGCGGCAGAAAGTCAAGATTTGAGATTACAGGAAAAAGTATATTATAGTCAGAACATAATACTCTGAAAGGCTCATGCAAGGCATAGTTAGATCTACAATGATTTAAAATCAGGGGAATATAATTTCTAGTTAATCTACTTGGCACAGAAAAGATTAGCCGACTTACCAAGTCGGGGCAGTCAATATCACCATGTTTAAGGTTATAAATAAATCGTTCTACGGTTGGCTAGGGAGGGTAAATTAATCAACAGAAGTCTACTAGAATAAGAAGGTAAGTTAAGATTTGAATGCCAGTTTAGGCGCCGTAAAGCAAAAAGAAGTAAGTTTATTGTACAGATTCAATACGACCAATATGTATTCCGTATTGTGGACTCCAGACTGGAGACCCATACTCCAGAATCGGACGGACTAGCGAAATAAATAAAGTTTTAGTCAAATAAGGATCATCGAATTCTTTTGACCACCTTTTAATAAATCCAAGCACTCCTCCGGCTTTATTAACCATAGACGAAATGTGATTAGAAAATTTTAGTTTAGGGTCCAAGAGAACGCCAAGATCGTTTACAAGAGTTATTCTATCCAAAGAGCTGCCACTTAACGTGTAAGTCGCGTATATCGGATTGGCCAGATAAAAAGTCATCAGCTTGCACTTGGAGCCGTTTAAATTTAGTAAATTATCTCGGCACCAGTTTTGAAAATTATCTAGATCGGATTGCAAGTCTAAATGGCAGGAAATGTCCTTATACTGCAGGCACAGCTTAACATCATCTGCGTACATAAGTACGCGAGAATGACTTATAATTGAGGGAAGATCGTTAATAAATAATGTAAAAAGTAACGGACCCAGAAGGCTCCCTTGTGGGACACCGGAGGTAACACGGAGAATTTCAGAAATTGAATTTTTAAAAAGGACCCTTTGTGACCTGCCATTTAGATAACTTGAAATCCATTTAAGCAGATCAACTGGAAAACCTAAAAGGTCAAGTTTATGAATAAGAAGTAAGTGATTTACAGAGTCAAATGCTTTACTAAAATCAGTGTAAATGACATCTGTTTGAAAACTACTATTGAAGCCCTTTACAATGTGGATTGTGGATCTACGTTTAATAAATCCGTGTTGAAACGGAGAAATGATTGATTTACAAAGGTGCTGCAAATGAGGAGTAATGATTTTTTTAAAACTTAGAAATACCTCTGTAGTTACAGGTTTCTAACTTGTTACCTTTTTTGAAAAGAGGAATAACAAAAGATTCCTTTCAAATATTTGGGAATTGGGAAGTTTCTAGAGATAAGGTAAGCAACTTGTGAAGAGGTTTGCACAGGGCCTTAGCGCGATACCTAAGCACGGACCCTGAAATGGAGGAGGTTAGAAGTCAGTTTTTTGAAATTGGTACACTGGTTTGGCCTCGACTAGGAAGTTTGACTCCCACGGGACACTTCTTTTTTATCTTAGCCTCGAACTCTTTTACAACCATATTATCCGGCCAAAAGTCGCCAAAGCTACAAAGAGCTCGTTAGGGACAATTATCTTGAAAGATGAAATGTCTCTAGCATAAGAAAACTTAAACTTTTCCACCTTTACACTATTACAATCGGCTTTAGTTTTTGTCATCCAGAAGATGTTTGATTAGAGAAACCGAGAAACGAAAATTTGTTTCTTTAGTAGAAACACTGAAAGGAATTTTGCTCGGCGAAAACTAGCAACTCCGAAACAGCTAATTAGCCCCATCAGACCGTCTTTAGTTTGGCGCATGAACGATTTCATCCCGTTCGCAACCTCAACACAAGCATCACAACAGAACTGCAAATTAGGCCCCTTTGAAAAGTCATCACTTGTCCGGCCAGTGAAACCGGAGCACTTGGTGTGCACCATGTTTTCACACAGCCAGCAAGTCATATTAGACTGGTCAGCCCTGATTACGAGGCAGCATTTTTTGCAAAAGCAGGCTAAATTATTGTTACTCATTTTACCTATTAAAACCACTGTACCAAGAAAACGAATTGAAATTTGTAAGCGAGCAGTTATTAGTACCGCAAGAGCGCAGAAACTGCACGCTTAGAACTTTCAAAACAAAGAGAGCGAGAGAGCGGGAGCGTAATTTAGTTCAAGTGCATGCAAAAGCAACACTAAAAACAGCACTAAGACTTACGACAAACAACGCACAAAAAGAGAAACGACGGGGTTACAAGAAAAGAAAACACAGAACAGAATTACGAAATTAAAACAATTTTTATTATTATTATGTGCACAAAGATTCAAAGTTCACTCGCGAAGCGAACGGAATTTAAATGTAAATTTCAAGATCTGATTGAAAATTGTTTTAATACAACCCACCGATGGGATTAAACAAAAACAAAATACAAAAACAGAGCGCAGAAAAAACACACGACCGTTCACTTTGAAAGTCAAAGACGATAATGGTAGATATGACCACATTTATATTCGATTATGCAATTGAACCCATTATTTTTCATTAGTACCGGACGATAGCACAGTAAGCATAGTTGTTTGCAGGATTCCAGCTGAATTTACTCCTGTATACTGTAGTGCCAAACTTGAAAAATTACAAACTTAAAAATTAAACTTAATCTATTTTAAACTTAATTTAAAATAGAACACAAACGAATTTTTCGTCAGTTGTGCCTTTAGTCGATAAACATGGGTATATATCATTCAGACCTCGAACATCAAAAACATATACCTATACCATAAATGCCCATCCATAATAAAGGAGAGTTGAAATGACAAAGCAAATAAAAAATTGATCTTTTTGTATATTATGACTTATACTTCACTTGTTTTTTGAGATATGCGCTTTATTGTTGATTTATATTAGGGTGGATATTTATTAAGAACGTTAAAGTCAATTACAACATAGACAAACCAACAAAGAAACAGCCAACAGTGTGGATGTCGCTAAAAACCTATTCCTTCTCAGTTGGATCAACAGACCTCATTCTACACTCACTGCAGTGTCTATCGGAAATGACAGCTTCTATGCAGGGCTCATGGTAGATATGACCGCATTTAAATCCGATTATGCAATTGAACCCACTATTTTTCATTAGTACTGGACGATAGCACAGTAAGCATAGTTGTTCGCAGGATACTTGCTGTCCACGTCGCTGTAGAGCCACTACCTCCGAATGGGTATCAAAGTAGTCCTCCAGCTGAATTTGTTGGGCGGCGAAGGATATTTCCTCCTGTATACTGTAGTGCCAAAGCATTTTTATGAGAGATTTCCGCAGGTTTGGAATAATCTGACCTGTTCTAATCCTACTAACGACTACCTCAGGATTTACATAGTCTAAATTAGGAAAGTAAATTACTCAGAAAACTTTAAAAATTACAAGTCTACTTACCTACTATACCGTCCAGTACTTTGGATACAGTCTCGGGTTGCTTGGCAGATTCATTAATGAGCAGATTCCATAGATCATTGTCATCATGTTCCTTGCAGAAGTCTATCGCCATTTCTATGTCATTCATCTGCGAAATTTGAACGCTATATTATAGTCATTTTATCAGTTTAAGTTTTCCCACGCTATGAATAATGATATTTAGGGCTTCGGCCGATTCCACTCGCCCATGCACCCTAGCAAGTAGACCATCTCCGGATAGAATCCTTCCCGTTTACAAATGGCTAATGCATCCTGAATGACATAGTCCTTTGAACGCCTAAGAAATGGCAAAAGTTTCTTCCTATCATACTTTGCATACAAGGACACAAGCTTATTTTGAAACATATTTCTGGAGTCCACTTTTATCAAAGAGTCCAGATACTGCAAAATAAAAAATTATATTTAAATCATTTTTAAGGTGTTATATGAGCCGATTACCCAGTACAGGTACTCTTTACTGTGTTCCAGCTGATGAACAACCAATTCTGATTTGATCTTGTCCTTGTCTAATAATATTTCAAATGCACGTTCACGGTCCAATTGAATGAGTGGAATGATTAATTTTGAAATAACATCGTAAAGCTGATAACGTTTTATTAATTTAAAGACGTCCTTGTTCTGCAACCTTCAAAAATTGTGTCAATCAGTTTTGTTAGCGATTTTAGTACTCACTTTAGATACATGCGGAGGGCGCTTTCGTAATCACCCTGATAAGAATAGAAAAGGGCGAGGGATTCGAGCATCTGTTTGGCATGCTGCTTGCGAAAGTTATCGTGAATTGCGTTTATTACTGCTAGTCCGTCATAAAGATGAGATGGCCACTCTTTGATAAGATTCAGAAAGCCGTTCACATCGAATTTTAGAAACTCGTACAAAACCATCTCGTACACATGGGCATCGAGTTTGCAATCGTCGGATGTCGGCAAATAGGCGCTGACGGATCGTAACTGCTGACACTTCACAAACTTGAAAACTTCTTCTTCCCAAAGGATTTTGTTATTGCCCAGCATCTGCAGGCAAAGTTTTGCGGCGTCCTCATACTGTTTCAGTGTCAGTAAATGGTTAATGTAAAGTCTGTGAAGTTACATGAAAATATTTATATAGTAAGCAACTTTATCTAAAATTTACCTGGCCACTGAAAGAACGGACACGCTACCGCCATGCGTGGCTATCAGTTCCATTGCTTCCTCGAATTTACTATATAAATTAAAATAAATTAGATACAAATTTTATCTTTGTCCAGCTAGAGACGTTCGCAATCGTATTTTTGTGTCAAAATATCATGTTTAAAAACGACGCCGATTGGACGTCGATATCCTTTAGCCGCAATGATGGCGTCAAATGTTTTTGAGTCTCCTTTTGTAATTAATTTTTATCGATGTTTTTGAGGGAAACATTTTGTCAATATCAGAAGCCTACATAAATAAAAGTATAATTGTATATAATGTATTATTTTCAGTTTATTCGCGCAGTAAAAGCGTCGAAATCTCTCGTATAAAGGGGTTCATCAGAACAAAAGTTCTATTTATATTTATATTTATTTATATATATGTAGTGACAAATCCACAGTATCAAAAGACTTTTTCTCTCACCCTGCTTATCTATAAACACATAGCATGTAACCACATTCTTACGATAAGTCACTTGAGCCACCCTTGCAACAAGAACCCAAAATCGAAATCCAAAAGTAAGAAAACTCCACTCAATTGAAACCGAAAGTGCTCTCATAACCTTTCTAAAGCTCAATACCCAGAAAGCTCGAGAACAAGGTTTGATCGTCAGAAAAGTAAGATCAATAAGTGAAGTTCAGTTTGAGACCTTATAATAATAGATCGGCTAACAAAGTTTGTAAACAATACCATTTTGACGATATCTTTATATAAAAAAGCATTTAAATTTTCCCAATTGACTTTACCTATATTTTTGAGCAATACAATACTTTTATTTTTATTTATTTAGACATAACACAGCTAGATAGTTTTAGGAGATCGGTCGGTAGTTCTTATGTATTAGCTTTTGGTATTGGGACAATCTTAGCTGTTATTCAGCGATCTATAAAAGTATGTAGTGTGCATACATACAGAGTACACACTGTACCATCGGCAACAATGTTAGCCAAATCTGCTGGATCAGCACTCTTCAAGTGCAAATGTAATTTGACCACACACGCCTTCAGCGAGTGATAAGTCGCGCCAACTTATCCCACAGCTTGGCGACTGCGACAAATATACCCATGTATGCACATAACATTCCATTCCCTTCTCTGGGCACCGCTCTCAGAGATAAACATAAGCTAACATATAAGGCGGTTGCGTCGCTGCCGGCTTGACCAACATAGAGCTAAGCCAAGTAAAGAATATAGGCCGGCAGTCTAGAGACGACGGCAAAGCAATGGAGTACCAAATAAAAGTATTGATAAATTCAAATAAAACCAGTGCGTTTTTATTAGAACTAAAATACTGTGAACCAATAAGTTGATAACATAACATGGAGACCGTGACATGAATTTATGTTAAACAATACACAAATAAAAAACAAAGTGATGCAAAATAAACAAAAAAAAAATTATTATAGATAAAAACAAAGTAGTAAATATATTAAATATTAAATACGAATATATGTTTAAAAAATTAATATTTTCAAAAAAAAAAAAATAAATAAAAATGTAAAATAAGTAACCATCATGGCCGATCGCACTAAGCCACTACGACAGTTGTTAAGGAAAGAAAGTAAATTTGTTTGGGGCCCTAAAGAGAAAGCAGCGTTCGATGATTTAAAAATTAGATTGGCCGAAATACCCAGACTCTCGTATTTCAACGTAAACCACCGAACACGTCTGATTGCCGATGCCATCCCTGTTGCACTAGGCGCGGTTCTGCTCCAGTTCACAGATAACAATGAACCATTAATAATTTCCTTTGCAAGCAGGAGTTTGTCTGATGTGGAGAAGCGGTACTCGCAAACAGAAAAGGAAAGCTTGGCATTAGTATGGGCGGTGGAAAAGTTCTATTACTACTTAGCAGGATTGGAGTTTGAATCAGTTACCGACCACAAGCCACTCGAGACTATATTTAAGCCGTCATCAAAACCACCAGCTATCAACACCCATATCATCTCGCGAGAGCCCTCACGCGAGTTTCCAGCAACGACCTTCCAATCCAGCGCTAATTATTAGGACAGTCTCTATTCAGTTAAAATTAAACTGTTAGATAATGTATTATTTTAAGATTTGCAACCTTATTGTTAGGCACATAAAGAGAAGATCAAAAAAAAAAACCAAGCTTTAAAAAAAAAAAAAAAAAAAAAAACGGTTCATATTTATTAAAAACATTAAAAGTCAATTACAACATAAAAAAGGTAAAAGATAATGACCAACAAAGGAAGAGTCTAGGTGTTAATTTTATTTTTATGAGTAATTCAAGAATGTTTTGCCTGTTTTCAATTAAGTCTAAATTATAAAAGTTAAATTACTCAGAGCGCATACATTAAAATTACTGTCCTACTTACCCACTATGCCTTACAAGACTTTCTACACAGTCCATGGTGCTCGGCAGATTCAATACTGAGCAAATTTCATAAATTGTTGTCATCGTGTTCCTTGCAGAAGTCTATAGCCATTTCTGTGTCATTCATCTGCGAAATTTTAACGCTATATTATAGTAATTTTTCAGTTTTAGTTTTCCCGCGCTATAAGTAATCATATTTAGGGCCTCGACCGCTTCTAATCCGCCCATGCACCTGGCAAGTCGACCATTTTCGGATAGAAGCCTTACCGTTTACCGGTGGCTAATGCCACCTGAATGAAATAGTGAACACCTAAAAAGGACAAAAGTTTCTTCCGATCACCTTTGGTATTGAAACATGTTTATGGAGTCCACTTTTAAGAAGGAGTCCAGATACTGCAAATAAAACAAGAGAGAACGCTATAGTCGGGTGCCCCGACTATCAAAAACCCGTTACTCAGGTAAAGGGAGTGCGAGGGAGATGGAGATAGAAACTTTGATCACGCATAACTTTTTAACGAATGGTCCGATTTGAAAAATTTCTTCTACATTTCAATAGGTATTGATAAACACAATAAATCTGCATTTTTACTTTTCCGAAATATTTAAATTTTTAAAATCGTATTTAAGCGATTGTGGGCGTTAAACCTGGCGTGGCACCTTTTTGAAACAAACTTGCGCTGCGTGGGAACTCCTAGAATCTGCATGCAAAATACTAATCTTCTAGCTTTTATAGTTTCCGAGATCTCAGCGTTCATACGGACGGACAGACAGACGGACAGACGGACATGGCTATATCGACTCGGCTAGTGACCCTGATCAAGAATATATATACTTTATAGGGTCGGAAACGCTTCCTTCTAGCTGTTACATACTTTTGCACGAATACAATATACCCTTTTACTCTACGAGTAACGGGTATAATTATATTTAAACCAATATTAAACCAAGCCAAGCGGTTATATGAGCCGATTACCCAGTATAGATACTCTTTACTGTGTTCCAGATGATGAACAACCAATTCTGATTTGATTTTTTTCTTGTCTAATAATATTTGAAATGCGCGTTCACAGTCTAATTGAAGTGGAATAATTATTTTTTAAAATAACACCGTAAAGCTAATAACGTTTTATTAACTCGGAGACGTTCTTGTTGTGCAACCTTCAAAAATTGTGTCAATCAGCAAATTAGTACTCACTTTAGATACATGCGAATGGCTCTTCGTAATCGTACTGCTTGTGAAGGTTATCGTGAATAGCAGAATAGAAAAGAATTACAGCGAAGCAGTTGTAAAGATAAGATGAGATTCAGAAAGCCGATTACATAGAATTTAAGAAACTCGTAAACTTGAGGATCGAGTTTTGAAATGTCGGATATCGGCAGATAGGCGCTAATGGATCTTAACTGCACTTCTCAAACAAAAAATATTAAACTTAATTTAAAATTTGTGCCTTTTATCGATAAACATGGGTACTTATCATTCAGACCTCAAACAGCAAAAATATATAATTATACTAATTATACACTATTATACATGTCCATCCATACTAAAAGAGAGCCGAAATGTCCTATGACTTATACCTAACATTTTTTTTTTGAGATAGACGTTTTTTTGAAAATGACGGCTAATTTTTTTTTTTCGGGCGGAGTCCCACTGTCCGTTTACCCGCCCAACCGACCGAGGGGCGCAGCCTTGTATCGTGCGGCACGATTTGCGAGAAGATAGACGCGAGATAAGAAAATTTAGGTAGGTCCGGGGAAAAAGTAATAGTAATATCAATTTTGCGCCAATGAAGCAAGTATTACTCGTTTTCGGAGCGGCAGAAAGTCAAGATTTGAGATTACAGGAAAAAGTATATTATAGTCAGAACATAATACTCTGAAAGGCTCATGCAAGGCATAGTTAGATCTACAATGATTTAAAATCAGGGGAATATAATTTCTAGTTAATCTACTTGGCACAGAAAAGATTAGCCGACTTACCAAGTCGGGGCAGTCAATATCACCATGTTTAAGGTTATAAATAAATCGTTCTACGGTTGGCTTGGGAGGGTAAATTAATCAACAGAAGTCTACTAGAATAAGAAGGTAAGTTAAGATTTGAATGCCAGTTTAGGCGCCGTAAAGCAAAAAGAAGTAAGTTTATTGTACAGATTCAATACGACCAATATGTATTCCGTATTGTGGACTCCAGACTGGAGACCCATACTCCAGAATCGGACGGACTAGCGAAATAAATAAAGTTTTAGTCAAATAAGGATCATCGAATTCTTTTGACCACCTTTTAATAAATCCAAGCACTCCTCCGGCTTTATTAACCATAGACGAAATGTGATTAGAAAATTTTAGTTTAGGGTCCAAGAGAACGCCAAGATCGTTTACAAGAGTTATTCTATCCAAAGAGCTGCCACTTAACGTGTAAGTCGCGTATATCGGATTGGCCAGATAAAAAGTCATCAGCTTGCACTTGGAGCCGTTTAAATTTAGTAAATTATCTCGGCACCAGTTTTGAAAATTATCTAGATCGGATTGCAAGTCTAAATGGCAGGAAATGTCCTTATACTGCAGGCACAGCTTAACATCATCTGCGTACATAAGTACGCGAGAATGACATATAATTGAGGGAAGATCGTTAATAAATAATGTAAAAAGTAACGGACCCAGAAGGCTCCCTTGTGGGACACCGGAGGTAACACGGAGAATTTCAGAAATTGAATTTTTAAAAAGGACCCTTTGTGACCTGCCATTTAGATAACTTGAAATCCATTTAAGCAGATCAACTGGAAAACCTAAAAGGTCAAGTTTATGAATAAGAAGTAAGTGATTTACAGAGTCAAATGCTTTACTAAAATCAGTGTAAATGACATCTGTTTGAAAACTACTATTGAAGCCCTTTACAATGTGGATTGTGGATCTACGTTTAATAAATCCGTGTTGAAACGGAGAAATGATTGATTTACAAAGGTGCTGCAAATGAGGAGTAATGATTTTTTTAAAACTTAGAAATACCTCTGTAGTTACAGGTTTCTAACTTGTTACCTTTTTTGAAAAGAGGAATAACAAAAGATTCCTTTCAAATATTTGGGAATTGGGAAGTTTCTAGAGATAAGGTAAGCAACTTGTGAAGAGGTTTGCACAGGGCCTTAGCGCGATACCTAAGCACGGACCCTGAAATGGAGGAGGTTAGAAGTCAGTTTTTTGAAATTGGTACACTGGTTTGGCCTCGACTAGGAAGTTTGACTCCCACGGGACACTTCTTTTTTATCTTAGCCTCGAACTCTTTTACAACCATATTATCCGGCCAAAAGTCGCCAAAGCTACAAAGAGCTCGTTAGGGACAATTATCTTGAAAGATGAAATGTCTCTAGCATAAGAAAACTTAAACTTTTCCACCTTTACACTATTACAATTGGCTTTAGTTTTTGTCATCCAGAAGATGTTTGATTAGGGGAAAGCCGAGAAACGAAAATTTGTTTCTTTAGTAGAAACACTGAAAGGGATTTTGCTCGGCGAAAACTAGCAACTCCGAAACAGCTAATTAGCCCCATCAGACCGTCTTTAGTTTGGCGCATGAACGATTTCATCCCGTTCGCAACCTCAACACAAGCATCACAACAGAACTGCAAATTAGGCCCCTTTGAAAAGTCATCACTTGTCCGGCCAGTGAAACCGGAGCACTTGGTGTGCACCATGTTTTCACACAGCCAGCAAGTCATATTAGACTGGTCAGCCCTGATTACGAGGCAGCATTTTTTGCAAAAGCAGGCTAAATTATTGTTACTCATTTTACCTATTAAAACCACTGTACCAAGAAAACGAATTGAAATTTGTAAGCGAGCAGTTATTAGTACCGCAAGAGCGCAGAAACTGCACGCTTAGAACTTTCAAAACAAAGAGAGCGAGAGAGCGGGAGCGTAATTTAGTTCAAGTGCATGCAAAAGCAACACTAAAAACAGCACTAAGACTTACGACAAACAACGCACAAAAGAGAAACGACGGGGTTACAAGAAAAGAAAACACAGAACAGAATTACGAAATTAAAACAATTTTTATTATTATTATGTGCACAAAGATTCAAAGTTCACTCGCGAAGCGAACGGAATTTAAATGTAAATTTCAAGATCTGATTGAAAATTGTTTTAATACAACCCACCGATGGGATTAAACAAAAACAAAATACAAAAACAGAGCGCAGAAAAAACACACGACCGTTCACTTTGAAAGTCAAAGACGATAATGGTAGATATGACCACATTTATATTCGATTATGCAATTGAACCCATTATTTTTCATTAGTACCGGACGATAGCACAGTAAGCATAGTTGTTTGCAGGATTCCAGCTGAATTTACTCCTGTATACTGTAGTGCCAAACTTGAAAAATTACAAACTTAAAAATTAAACTTAATCTATTTTAAACTTAATTTAAAATAGAACACAAACACATTTTTCGTCAGTTGTGCCTTTAGTCGATAAACATGGGTATATATCATTTAGACCTCGAACATCAAAAACATATACCTATACCATAAATGCCCATCCATAATAAAGGAGAGTTGAAATGACAAAGCAAATAAAAAATTGATCTTTTTGTATATTATGACTTATACTTCACTTGTTTTTTGAGATATGCGCTTTATTGTTGATTTATATTAGGGTGGATATTTATTAAGAACGTTAAAGTCAATTACAACATAGACAAACCAACAAAGAAACAGCCAACAGTGTGGATGTCGCTAAAAACCTATTCCTTCTCAGTTGGATCAACAGACCTCATTCTACACTCACTGCAGTGTCTATCGGAAATGACAGCTTCTATGCAGGGCTCATGGTAGATATGACCGCATTTAAATCCGATTATGCAATTGAACCCACTATTTTTCATTAGTACTGGACGATAGCACAGTAAGCATAGTTGTTCGCAGGATACTTGCTGTCCACGTCGCTGTAGAGCCACTACCTCCGAATGGGTATCAAAGTAGTCCTCCAGCTGAATTTGTTGGGCGGCGAAGGATATTTCCTCCTGTATACTGTAGTGCCAAAGCATTTTTATGAGAGATTTCCGCAGGTTTGGAATAATCTGACCTGTTCTAATCCTACTAACGACTACCTCAGGATTTACATAGTCTAAATTAGGAAAGTAAATTACTCAGAAAACTTTAAAAATTACAAGTCTACTTACCTACTATACCGTCCAGTACTTTGGATACAGTCTCGGGTTGCTTGGCAGATTCATTAATGAGCAGATTCCATAGATCATTGTCATCATGTTCCTTGCAGAAGTCTATCGCCATTTCTATGTCATTCATCTGCGAAATTTGAACGCTATATTATAGTCATTTTATCAGTTTAAGTTTTCCCACGCTATGAATAATGATATTTAGGGCTTCGGCCGCTTCCACTCCGCCCATGCACCCTAGCAAGTAGACCATCTCCGGATAGAATCCTTCCCGTTTACAAATGGCTAATGCATCCTGAATGACATAGTCCTTTGAACGCCTAAGAAAGGGCAAAAGTTTCTTCCTATCATACTTTGCATACAAGGACACAAGCTTATTTTGAAACATATTTCTGGAGTCCACTTTTATCAAAGAGTCCAGATACTGCAAAATAAAAAATTATATTTAAATCATTTTTAAGGTGTTATATGAGCCGATTACCCAGTACAGGTACTCTTTACTGTGTTCCAGCTGATGAACAACCAATTCTGATTTGATCTTGTCCTTGTCTAATAATATTTCAAATGCACGTTCACGGTCCAATTGAATGAGTGGAATGATTAATTTTGAAATAACATCGTAAAGCTGATAACGTTTTATTAATTTAAAGACGTCCTTGTTCTGCAACCTTCAAAAATTGTGTCAATCAGTTTTGTTAGCGATTTTAGTACTCACTTTAGATACATGCGGAGGGCGCTTTCGTAATCACCCTGATAAGAATAGAGAAGGGCGAGGGATTCGAGCATCTGTTTGGCATGCTGCTTGCGAAAGTTATCGTGAATTGCGTTTATTACTGCTAGTCCGTCATAAAGATGAGATGGCCACTCTTTGATAAGATTCAGAAAGCCGTTCACATCGAATTTTAGAAACTCGTACAAAACCATCTCGTACACATGGGCATCGAGTTTGCAATCGTCGGATGTCGGCAAATAGGCGCTGACGGATCGTAACTGCTGACACTTCACAAACTTGAAAACTTCTTCTTCCCAAAGGATTTTGTTATTGCCCAGCATCTGCAGGCAAAGTTTTGCGGCGTCCTCATACTGTTTCAGTGTCAGTAAATGGTTAATGTAAAGTCTGTGAAGTTACATGAAAATATTTATATAGTAAGCAAATTTATCTAAAATTTACCTGGCCACTGAAAGAACGGACACGCTACCGCCATGCGTGGCTATCAGTTCCATTGCTTCCTCGAATTTACTATAAAATTAAAATAAATTAGATACAAATTTTATCTTTGTCCAGCTAGAGACGTTCGCAATCGTATTTTTGTGTCAAAATATCATGTTTAAAAACGACGCCGATTGGACGTCGATATCCTTTAGCCGCAATGATGGCGTCAAATGTTTTTGAGTCTCCTTTTGTAATTAATTTTTATCGATGTTTTTGAGGGAAACATTTTGTCAATATCAGAAGCCTACATAAATAAAAGTATAATTGTATATAATGTATTATTTTCAGTTTATTCGCGCAGTAAAAGCGTCGAAATCTCTCGTATAAAGGGGTTCATCAGAACAAAAGTTCTATTTATATTTATATTTATTTATATATATGTAGTGACAAATCCACAGTATCAAAAGACTTTTTCTCTCACCCTGCTTATCTATAAACACATAGCATGTAACCACATTCTTACGATAAGTCACTTGAGCCACCCTTGCAACAAGAACCCAAAATCGAAATCCAAAAGTAAGAAAACTCCACTCAATTGAAACCGAAAGTGCTCTCATAACCTTTCTAAAGCTCAATACCCAGAAAGCTCGAGAACAAGGTTTGATCGTCAGAAAAGTAAGATCAATAAGTGAAGTTCAGTTTGAGACCTTATAATAATAGATCGGCTAACAAAGTTTGTAAACAATACCATTTTGACGATATCTTTATATAAAAAAGCTTTTAAATTTTCCCAATTGACTTTACCTATATTTTTGAGCAATACAATGCTTTTATTTTTATTTATTTAGACATAACACAGCTAGATAGTTTTAGGAGATCGGTCGGTAGTTCTTATGTATTAGCTTTTGGTATTGGGACAATCTTAGCTGTTATTCAGCGATCTATAAAAGTATGTAGTGTGCATACATACAGAGTACACACTGTACCATCGGCAACAATGTTAGCCAAATCTGCTGGATCAGCACTCTTCAAGTGCAAATGTAATTTGACCACACACGCCTTCAGCGAGTGATAAGTCGCGCCAACTTATCCCACAGCTTGGCGACTGCGACAAATATACCCATGTATGCACATAACATTCCATTCCCTTCTCTGGGCACCGCTCTCAGAGATAAACATAAGCTAACATATAAGGCGGTTGCGTCGCTGCCGGCTTGACCAACATAGAGCTAAGCCAAGTAAAGAATATAGGCCGGCAGTCTAGAGACGGATTGCAGGAGTTTCCATATAAGGACAAAATAACATGAATAACATGTCAGAGCAAAATGTTTCTTAGTTCAAAATTTTACGAAAAAACATAATAAAAGTGCAGCTATGAACTTTAAATTAGCAAATAATTATCATTAAATAAAAAAAAAGAACTGTTAAATTTAAATTGTATTGTTTTTTAATTTCATTGTACAGCGACAGACATGTCTTGCCAAGATATTTGATAATATCCTTTAAAGGCTCTTTCCCGCAAATACGATATTTGAATTTTAACTGCTTGTCAACAAACCCAGCGGATTGACAGTACGACCGTAGCACGCGTATTTCTGATGAACTCTCGAGATTTTGGTCACACTGGAAAGATTAAAGTTTTTACGCAAGCGAACTCGTTTTTCGATCTGAGTTATTATTTTGATAAATCTATTAAGGAGGGGTAAAGTATTTAACTTTTTTTTTTTTTTTTTTTTATATTTTTGGTCTGAATGCACATTATCTCGAGAACATTGTGCTAAAATTTTAGATCGATCCGAATAAACCTTCCAAACTTGTGGGCAGTTGAACGTATGTAAGTAAGCACGTTTTATATTAAATTTTTGGGAGTCTCAAACTTCAAAGCGCTTTCCTGAAAAGTTACCATTTCAAAGTCGGTGTACACGATCCTCCAAACCTATCGAACGGCTCGTTTTGAGATTTTGCACAGCATTTCTCTACCATCTTCCTTAGGTAACGCTGTCGAGTTTTTTTATTTTTATTAATTTATTATTTTTAGACGTTTTGGGCGAAAATCGGGTTTTTGACATTCAAGTGCCTTAATAAATCGAAAAATAAACAAAAAAAAAATAAAAACTCGACAGCGTTACCTGCCTGTATCTCACTCAATTTTTAATATTTTTGGATCAAAAATTCTCAAATGTTGTTTAAATGTTGCCCTATCACTTCAAAGATTGAGCTGATTGATTGAGAGCCCCCATAAAAAACAAGAAATTGGAAATAATTGTACACTTTACTTTGTTCCACTTCCAGCGTTCCGCTGTCGTAGCAAAGTCATCGATGCTAGTTTGACGCTCATAATATAAAGTTAATTGAATTATAATGGTATGTATATGGCGCCTTTGAATAATAAAAATGTTACAAATAGTAACTTTTTCAGCTATTTATTTTGTAATTTATCCGCGGTCACACTGCTAGAAGAATATTAAGGATGAGGCGTTTGAATAATTTACTGACCCTCTTCACGGCTATAACTGCATTTTTTTTTGGGAGCTTTATCACAAAAATACTTAGTTCGGTAGACCAATGTCCAGCACACCGCAGAGGAGTGCCAGACCTTAAGTCGCATCCGAATCTGTTTCTCATGGTGTTGGTGCTGAGCGCACCGCGCAGTGCTGAGCAGAGGAATGCCATGCGAAGGACCTGGCTCAAAAATGTAAGACAGCCCATCCAGCAGCCGTATTATCCTGAAGAGCAAATCTACCTTCCAACCTACGGCACCAGCGGCGTTTTGCAGGTGGAGTTGGTTGCGCATCAGGCGAATCGCCTGAGGCAGTATATAGAGTGGCAGAAAAGCCCTCTGACCAGAATCCCCCAATTAACGAAGAGGGAGATTAAAGTGAAGCACCTTTTTGCCATTGGCACTGTCAAAATAAGCAGCTCCCTGGAGGCGGAGCTGCTGAGCGAGCAAAATCAACATAAAGACCTTCTGATGCTGCAACATCACCATGACACATACGACAATCTTACAGATAAACTTCTGCAGGCTTTAGATGCTTTAATAGACAACTATGAATTTTCATATATCATAAAAGTTGACGACGATACCTACGTTAAGCTGGACAGCCTAATCAATGAGCTCGTCTCCTATGATCGAAAGTTACTTCGCAAAATGTCTGAGTATGGCCGTGATCCCATTCCCCAGCTTTATTGGGGATACTTTAATGGACGCGCAAAAATTAAAGGGAAAGGCCATTGGAAGGAGTCTAATTATTACCTTAGCAAAAACTATCTTCCCTACGCCCTAGGCGGTGGATACGTTTTATCTCGAAAACTATGTGAATATATAGTCAATAGCTCACAACTGCTTACACCCTATGTTTCCGAGGATGTCTCGGTCGGCACTTGGCTGACTCCACTACGTCATGTCTATCGCTGGCACGATCCCAGATTTGACACTGGCTACATGCCTCGAAAATGTCAGCCCTATCATATAGTTTTGCACAAACGGAATTTGGAAATGATGACTGACATCTATGATGGTAAACTTTGCAGTGGCACTGTCTCGTCCTCATTATCCGAATACTACTACGATTGGACGAGGACAGCAGACAAATGTTGCGATAGTTTAGTAGTGTAGCCATGACTTGGAGTCGTGCAGAACCAAAGTATTGAAACTTTTATATTGGCTTACCTGTGCTTAATTAACCATTCTATGCGGTCGTCCGTTTCAATAAGACTAGCCACTACAATGTCCTTAGGAGCCACTATATAAAAGCGATTATCCTCGACTATGCTACCCAGACTATAGTCATTTACGGTGTACTCCTCGAAGCCACGCAAAGTCAAACTATCAGTGCAGATCTCCTCGCTGCTATCCTTTTTGTACTCAATAACGCATAAAACAGGACGTTGGGCTTTAAAAGATTCGCTTTTTTCTTTGCGATAGCCAAGCACCACTAATTGGTTGGTGTTTAATGGGGCAAGTCCACAGATGTAGAAAGTAGTTTGAAATGTCGAGACTGCAATGATGAAATAAATAAATTTTAGTTTGAATATCAAATTATCATGAGTACTATAATTCACCTGGATCTACAATATAGCTCGGCAGATTGCTACTTGAAGCTTCGATTAAATTTCTTTTGCGAATAACACAAATTCGTATAGTGTCTACCCAGCCGATTAACAGAGTATGCTTATTTGACCATAGCAAGTGGCAGCGAAAGTTTTCCAGCCGCTCCTGTGTTGGCGCCTCCCATTTCATTAATCCAAGCGAGCATTTTTCATTTAAATCATAGACACGGACACCTAGGTGACTCGCCCAGGCAACCAAGCTACCATGCCATCGTATGGTCAACACATTCCCTTCGACTAAGCAGAGCTCAATTGGCTTAAGCTTATTTAAAAGATTACGCTCGTACAATATTAGTTTGTCATGTCCTAAGAATTACTTGTTTTTATGATAAATGAACAGATAATTGTTCATGTGTTTACCTACCCACTATGAATCGCCTAGTGCGAGATCTAAGTTCGGGGTCCACGGCTACAGCTTTTATAAATTTACCAAAACTTAGATTCTGATTGTTCTCGCAGCTGAACAAACCCGTTATGTTAACCTGCGGTATAAAGAGTTAGCCTGACTCAGTCGACTTAAGACCAGAGACTCACTTTTCCGTCGTCTGAGCATGTGGCCACATATTCGCCCTTTGGATCCACATCAATCTGGTTGACTGCCACTTGATGAGTGTAGCGTTCGCTGTTGCTTAAATTCGAATTGACAGAATTTCCTTGATGGTCCAATAAATGAACACGTCCTCGGAATGTGCCAAGTATAAGAAACTGAATACTTATTTAAAAAGATGCAATTTAAATGCGATTATCGCCCACCTTAAAATGCACAGCTGTGCTTGTCACGACATCAGTATTTAGTATGTTTTTCAAATCGTTAGCAAGGCGTTGGTACTTAAATTTTGGCTCCACTTCTTCATCTTCCCTGTTTTCGGTCCCAGAGACCTGTAAAGTAAAACTATTGCAATATCAGGTTTTTCTGATGCAAATTAAACATACACTGCTAGTTGACAAAAATTCAGCCATTTTGAAATGTATTATAGAATATTTAACTTCCTAACTAAAAATATGTTTATTAGAGGTGCAGCAACATTGATGAAAACATCGATGCATCGATATTTTTGAAATTTTCTAAATCATCGATGTTTTTTTTCAACCATCGATGTTTCTGTGCCGTCACTATCAAGAGAAAAAGGCAAAGGAAAGCTACGTAAAAGAAAAAAAAAACAAGAAAGGAAAGCTAACTTCGGGCGGAGCCGAAGTTGAAATACCCTTGCAGAATACTCTGTAAATTATATTCTCCAAAATTATGCAACATATGGCATTCTTAATACTCATAAAAAATCCCAACTTCCTAACTTTAAAAACACCAAAGTTATGGCATTGCCAATCGTTCAGTTATATGGCAGCTATAGGATATAGTCGGCCGATCCTTATGAAATTTGATAGGTCGGATTGATTGGCTAAAAATAAAACCCATAGAAAATCCCAACTTCCTAACTTAACAAAAACCAAAGTTATGGCATTTTCGATCAATCAGTTGTATGGCAGCTATAGGATATAGTCGGCCGATCCTTATGAAATTTGATAGGTCGGATTGATTGGCCAAATATAAAACCCAAAGAAAATTCCAACTTCCTAACTTTACAAACACCAAAGTTATGGCATTTCCGATCAATCAGTTATATGGCAGCTATAGGATAAAGTCGGCCGATCCCGGCCGTTCCGACATATATACTGCGTGCAAAGGAAAGAAGGGTGTGTGCAGACAGACGGACAGACAGACGGACAGACGGACATGGCTATATCAACTCAGGAGATGATCCTGATCAAGAATATATATACTTTATAGGGTCGGAGATGTCTCCTTCACCTTATACCCTCTGCATGGGTATAAAAAAGGTCCGTACCAAGCCAGACTGAATCTTCGGACTATTTCACTCCGAAGCAATAGTTAAGCTCAGGCGGCATATAGAGACTACGAATTAGGCCGAAATGTGCGAGCCGTTGAAGTATTGGAAGGTACGTTTCTGAATTGTTTTAAGTCATTATTTTACATTTACATTTATAATTAATTATGCTTTCAGGAGTCGTCGAACAGCATGGCGCCCTTTAAAGAAGTGGCAAAACAATTTCTATGTGTCCCTGCCACTTCCTGCGAGTCAGAAATAGCCTTCAGCAAGGCGGGGCAAATTATTTCTGACCACAGGACGCGCCTAAAGCCTGATATTGTTGACAATCTTATGTTCATAAACAAAAATCACATTTTTTTTAAATGTTTAACTAAATTTTAAGAAATGATCTCCGTTTTCTAAACCAAGTGATACAACCACAAGTGTGCATTTTAATAATTTAAAAAATATTATTTAAATTTTTTAAAACATCGATGTTTCATCGATGTTTCTGCACCTCTACTGTTTATTTATGGAGTATTTAGATTTAAGCCTAGTATCCAGATCGACGAAAACCGTACGCCAGTCATGAGAGAGAGCGAGAAGCAAACAGCTGGCGTTCACTTTTCGTCGGGCCTTTTTTTCATGTCGGTCCCCTGATTGACGAAAAAAAATACCAGAAAATTCCATAGCGTTGCCAGTCTGCGAAAATGAACTTTGAGTCAACCCTAGCGAAAAGATTAAAAAATTTAACCTTTTGGCGTGCGCTTCTCACTGCACATTATAAGAAATGGAGGGAAAAACTCAAAAAACTCACAAAAGTCGATTGCAGGTGTTTACATGTGAGAAAAAATAACATTAATACTATCTGGGGTGCCTCTTGTCAGAGCAAAATGTTTTTTAGGTCCAGAATGTACGAAAAAACACAATAAAAGTGCAGCTATGAACTTTAAATTAGCAAATAATTATCAGTAAATTAAATAAAACAACTGTTAAATTTAAATTGTATTGTTTTTTAATTTCTTTGTACACCGGCAGACTTGTCTTGCCAAGGTATTTGATAATATCTTTTAATGGCTCTTTCCCGCAAATACGATATTTGAATTTTAACTGCTTGTCAACAAACCCAGCTGATTGACAGTACGACCGTAGCACTCTTAAGTCTGATGAACTCTCGAAACTTTGGTCACACTGGAAAGATTAAAGTTTTTACGCTAGCGTAATCGTTTGTCGATCTGGATACTAGGCTTTAGTGTGTATGTAAATCAGATAGCGGACAAACGTATCTGGTTAAGCCTAGTATCCAGATCGACAAACGATTACGCTAGCGTAAAAACTTTAATCTTTCCAGTGTGACCAAAAGTTTGAGAGTTTATCAGATTTAAGCGTGCTACGGTCGTACTGTCAATCAGCTGGGTTTGTTGACAAGCAGTTAAAATTCAAATATCGTATTTGCGGGAAAGAGCCTTTAAAAGATATTATCAACTACCTTGGCAAAACAAGTCTGCCGCTGTACAAAGAAATTAAAAAACAATACAATTTAAATTTAACAGTTGTTTTTTTTAATTTACTGATAATTATTTGCTAATTTAAAGATCATAGCTGCACTCTTATTGTGTTTTTTCGTACATTCTGGACCTAAAAAACATTTTGCTCTGACAAGAGGCACCATAGATAGTATTAATGTTATTTTGTCCTCACATGTAAACACCTGCAATCGACTTTTGTGAGTTTTTTTGAGTTTTTCCTCCATTTCTTATAATGTTTAGTGAGAAGCGCACGCCAAAAGATTAAATTTTTTAATCTTTTCGCTAGGGTTCATGTTTCCGCAGACTGGCAACGCTATGGAATTTTCTGGTATTTTTTTCGTCGATCAGGAGACCGACGTGAAAAAAAGGCCCGACGAAAAGTGAACGCCAGCTGTTTGCCTCTCGCTCTCTCTCATGACTGGCGTACAGTTTTCGTCGATCTGGATACTAGGCTTTAGAGCATATTTCCACTAATTTATAATAAGCGTTCATATGAAATATTCCAACTCCATATATTTTATAGTGTTTTTACGTGGAATCCGCAGTACAGAGCCCTCATTCGAAATCACGTTCTGTGGAATAACAGGTACTTAATGCACAGGGTTTTATAAAATTTAATCAGATATTCGCAACGGATTGAAGAAGAAATTTGAGTATATTTTATATTGTATAAATATATTTCATACCAGAAAATATACACGTGTAATAGCTGCTTGAATTAAATTATTTCGTTACTAATTGGATAATCAGCAAATATCATAATCTTATTGCTTAATCCTAGTACTCAGATCGACAAACGAGTTTGCTAGCGTAAAAACTTTAATCTGTCCAGTGTGACCAACATTTCGAGAGTTCATCGGAAATAAGTGTGAAACGGTCGTACTGTCAATCAGCTGGGTTGGTTGACAAGCAGTTAAAATTCAAAAATCGTATTTGCGGGAAAGAGCGCGTAAAAAATATTATCAAATACCTTGGGATGACTGAACAAAATAAATTAAAAAACAATACAATTTAAATTAACAGTTGTTTTTTTTATTTGCTGATAATTATTTGCTAATTTAAACTTAATAGCTGCTCTTAGTTCTAACAAACGATTTTTCTAAGTTTTTTATTTTTTTTTTCGTACATTTTTGACCCGAGAGACACTTTGTTCTAACAAGAGGCACATCAATAGATCAACACCCTCACAAGAAAACTGCTGCAATCAACTTTTACAGGTTTTTTATATTTTTTCCCCATTTTTTAAAAAGGTTTAGTGAGAAGCGCTTGCCAAAAAATGAAAATTTTCAATCTTTTCGCTAGGGCTCACCCAAAGTTCATTTCAGCAGACTGGCAACGCTATGAATTTTTCTTGTATTTTTTTCGTCGATCTGAGTACCGAGGTGAAAAAAAGCCTGACGAAAAGTGAACGCCAGCTGATTGCCTCTCGCTCTCTCCCATAACTGGCGGAAAGTTTTCGTCGATCTGAGTACTAGGCTTAATTACATAAATCTAGTAAAAGAAAAAAATGACGAGCTTTGCAAGTCTATTTCCAAAATGCGTCTCCAATTTGTGCAATACTTCTTCTCAATACTTAAATCCCACAGAGCCAATTACCGTAAAATAATTAGGATTTGTGACAGATGTGAAACTGGTGCTCCCACCAGCCATGGTCAAAAAACCGACATGGGCGTTCGCAGAATTTGTTGAAGGGTGTCACTTTTCCACTTATATTTTATTAATAGCTTAAATTGTAAAAAAATTATATTTAGTGTTTTAAGCCTAGTACTCAGATCGACAAACGAGTTTGCTAGCGTAAAAACTTTAATCTTTCCAGTGTGACCAAAATATCGAGAGTTCATCAGAAATACCCGTGCTACGGTCGTACTGCCAATCCGCTGGGTTTGTTGACAAGCAGTTAAAATTCAAACATCGTATTTGGAGGAACATTTTTTTTTGTAAAATTTTGACCTAAGAAACATTTTGCTCTGACAAGAGGCACCACAGATAGTATTCATGTTATTTTGTCCTTATATGGAAACTCCTGCAATCGACTTTTGCAGGTTTTTGATTTTTTCCCTCCATTTTTCAAAATTTTCAGTGAGAGGGGCAAGGCAAAAGATTAAATTTTGTATTCTTTTCGCTAGGGTTCACCCAGAGTTCATTTCCGCAGACTGGCAACGCTATTAAATTTTTTGGATTTTTTTTGTCGATCTGAGGACCGAGGTGAGAAGAAACGTTGACGAAAAGTGAACGCCAGCTGTTTGCCTTCTCGCTCTCTCATGACTGGCGTACAGTTTTCGTCGATCTGAGCACTATCAAAGCACTATCCCTTTACCAACATTTGTTCTAAATAAACACAGCAATCCCGGTATTACAGGTCTTCTTTTCCACAAATAAGATTAAAAAGTTCCCAGCGAAGGTGACTTCTCGGAATGGTTCAAATATCGCTTAAACGTTTAGCTCGATTATTTTGCTTGTAATTTATTTGATTTAATTTATTTTAAAGTCTGTTAATGTCGTTTTCTTTTGTTTTGTAGTTCTTTTAATGCTTTTAATCTATTTTTGTTGTTTGTTTTGGAGGAACGGATATTTAGCAGTAAGTGACATGATTTTTCCCAGCTAACCCCGTGGCTGACTCCTTTTGTAAAGAAATGGTCGATAGAATAGGCAGTACTAGATGGAGTGAAAAGTAACCTCCTTGGGAATGAAACAA